CTCCTGGGTAGCCGAAGGCCAGACTAACAGATTGCCTTGGGGTCCAGGGCCACTCTGGCTTGGCCAGGTTGGAGATTTCTACTTGCTCGCCAGTCTGTTACCTCGCTGGCTCTCCGCCAGATTGCCAACTTTTGCCCGATAGGGGCCGCCAGATTGGCGCCAGATTGGCTTCGACTTCGCGTCCCCAATTTCTTCTCACAACGATTCCTGGGCCTGTGACTCGACAGAACCTAAGCGCGCGCGAAGCGCGCGTGGTTCTAGTATATATATATATATATATGTGATATCCAAGCGCACGCTGGACCTGATCGACCTTCGCGCCCACGCGAGGCTCAAAACGAAAACAACAACTTTGCAGCCGAAGACTGGTTGAAGCAGGTTTGCAAATCAGCGAGGCACGACAAGACAATGTGGATGAATGACCAAATTCCTGCTGGGGGTCAGGCCCCCTTGAGGCGAGCCCGCCAGCCTCGCGCCTGGAAGCAGGGCAGATTGAAGGACTTGGGGGGCGAACTCGTGGACAACAGCTGCCGGGCAGATGCCATGGCGGAGCGAGAAAATTCAATGGCGCATTCGCCCTGCAGACGTCGTTCCTTTGGGGCCGCTCGGCGCCTCTCCGCTGGTATCGGAGGCGACTTCACGCGGCGACAAATCGAGGCAGCAGCGCGAAAACTCAAGCGCGGCGAAGCGGCGGGCCCCGACGACATCCCAGCAGAGTATGGGAAAACACTTGCAGACACGCGTGGGGGCCAGGGTTGATCACGGATCCGATGACCAAGTGCTTGAGGGAGAAGTCGGTGCCAAGCGAGCTGCAGCATGCAGTAATCAGCACGATCTACAAGAGCAAGGGGCCCCCTCGACGAATGCGACAATTTCAGACCGATCAGCCCTTTGTGCATCAGCTACAAATTCGCGGCAAGCTCACCAATCAAAAGGTTGCACGAGGTGGGGGCGGGGGACATATTAACAAAGACGCAGTTTGGATTTCGACGAGGACGGGGAACTTCGGACGCAACGCGCGCAGCACGGAGACACGTCGATTTAGCATACGAAGGAAAAGAAGGGAAAACAGCAATGGCAGCATTAGATTGGAAGAAGCCTGTTGATTCAATCCACGTCGGCGCCATGCTTAATGCACTTCGCGCTTTCGGTGTCCACGAGTCCATGCTGCACATGATTGGTACAACCTACGAGAACAGGTACTTCTGCGTAGCGGACGGGCGAAGCACATCCCAATCGCGACCACAAGAATCCGGGATCTCACAAGGTTGTCTTTTGTCTCCGATCCTGTTCGTCATGGCGATGTCTGCGGTTATCCGAGAGACCCGGGACAATTTGCCAGCGGATGCGCGCGAGGCCCTGGACGAATGGCAAAGTCCAATACTGCTGTACGCTGACGACACGCTGCTGGTGGGCACACCCCAACGCCATTTGCAACTGCTCCTGGGGGCTGCGGCGGGCGCCGGAAAAATATCCGGGATGGACTTGCATTGGGACAAGTTCCGGCTGATGTGCGTGAAATGCGGCATTCGATTTGTCGCCCCTGGAGGCGCCGCCATCGCAGCGAAAGAGCACATGAAGCATCTACGGGACACGCTGCGCAGCGCAGGCAAGTTTGGAGGTGAACTTACCAAAAGACTTGACGCGGCATGGGGCGTATTCTCGGACTTTGAACGCACCTGGAAGCATTCATCTATCGCCACAGCCAGGGCGCTGGAAGTATTCCAATCCGTCGTTACTACAATAATGATGCACTCCTTGAACACAGCCTGACTAAACAAGGCGGAAAGAATAATACTCGATGGATTCCAAGCTCGCTGCCTGCATCGTATTCTACATATACCACATGCATATGTCTCGAGGGTGTCGAACAAGACGGGGCTCGAGCAGGCCGAACAGCTCAGCTACACATCTCAGCTCTTGCGACGCCAGCTGCTCTGGTTTGGGAAGGTCGGCAAAGTTGAGGACGGCGACGTGCTCCGCGCGCTGACCTTCGAGACTGGCAGCCCGCGAACCACCAGTGGGAGAGCGCGGAGAGCACGGGGGCGACCTAGGCACGAGTGGGCGAAATATTTGCACCGAAAGATCGCCCCGCGCTTCGCTTCTGAAGCCGCCATGCGGAACTGCATTGGCGACGAACGCAGCAGGCGCCATTTCGCTGCGAACTTCGTAATTGATACTCGAGTCTTACTCATCACTGCCAGCAGCAAGCAAAGCTTGCTGCCATATCCCGCCAACGCGCCGGACGGCGTCTATCTACAGTGACACTGTGCGTGTTAGATTGGTTTCTTCCCCAGGGTGCCGCTCAGTCGCAGGGGCCATTGCTGGCTGCTGCGCCTCTTCTGGGGTGCCGTGCAGTTTCTCGCTGTTCTCCGCCCACATCGCGCATGCCTTGGCGTCGTTTTGATTTCCGACGTCAACTGCTCCAGCATGCACATGGGTTTGGTGACCTGCTTTAGGTTTGACACATAAAGTTGCCCTTCCGTTTTGGAGGTGGCCC